ATGCTCTTGCCTATGCGCTAAAGGAAACCCATTGTAAAGCTGTTATTTGCAATGGAAGTAATGTTTTAAAACTAATTGGTGTATTAAGGAAGATGGGGATCCTCGGCACTATTATTATTTATCTTGGCTCATTTCCAGAGTCTACGGATACTGCAGGTTATACTCTGTATGCTTGGACCGATGTCCTGAAAAAAGGCGAGGACAGTAAGGTTTCAGTTGTAAATCTTCCCAGTTCGGAGAACTGCGATGATCTTGCACTTATTATGTACACAAGCGGTACCACAGGGAATCCGAAGGGTGTAATGCACTCTCACGGAAGTATATCAGCGGGATTTTCAGCTTTGGCTCATCGCGTCCGGGACGTTCTTGGCGAGCCAAATGAATCGGAAACGTATTGTTCGTATTTGCCACTTGCCCATATTATGGAACTTGCTGTGTTGAGCATCCTGTTTCTTCGTGGGTGTACCATTTGTTTTGGTAGTCCACGGACACTGTCGAGTACCTTTGCAAAACCGCGAGGAGATTTTGAGGAGTATCGCCCCGTGCTTGTCGTTGGTGTTCCACGTATCTTTGATACGGTAAAAAAAGGGGTGGAGGCAAAGTTACCCCCACCGGGCTCCTTAAAACGTCGTGTCTTTGATTGTGCCTACCAGTCCCGTCTCAAGGCGCTAAAGGAAGGAAAAGACACGCCTTATTATAACGCCAGAGTTTTTTCGCAGGTACGCAAGGCATTGGGAGGCCGTGTACGTGTGCTGCTCTCTGGTGGAGGGCCTATGAACCCCTCTACACAAGAGTTTGTAAATGTTGTATTCGGCATGATTATTCAAGGATGGGGACTCACAGAAACAGTCTGCTGCGGTGGAATTCAGCGTACGGGCAATCTTGAATACGTGAATGTTGGTCCACCACTCAATTCCCTGGAAATAAGGTTACTTGACACAGAGGAGTACAAGCACACCGACAAACCGGAACCCCGTGGGGAAATATTGCTGCGTGGGCCATTTCTTTTCAAGGGATATTATAAGCAGGAGGAACAGACAAAGGAGGTCATTGACAACGATGGCTGGTTTCACACGGGTGATGTGGGTGCCATAGCATCCAATGGAACGATTAGCATTGTGGGCCGTGTGAAGGCGCTGGCAAAGAATTCCAACGGTGAATACATCGCGCTAGAGACTCTGGAGGCAACCTATGGAGCAAACGGCCTTGTTACGAACAATGGTGTGTGTGTGCTGGTGCATCCCAACCGTAGTTATACGGTTGCCTTGGGGATCACCACTAAAGATCTCGTAATGAAATTTGCAAAGGAAAATAAAATTCCTGGCAGCTTTCCTGCCATTCTTGAAAACAAAGAGTTTCGCCGGAAGGCGACAGAATCGTTTCAGGCGACTGCACGAGCGGCCGGTCGCAGGAGCTTTGAGATAGTCCGCCATGTGAGGCTGTTGGAAGAGGAATGGACCCCCGAAAACGATGTTTTGACGGCAGCCATGAAGTTGAAGCGACGCGTCATTGACGAGCGCTACAAGGAATTAATTAAGGAATTGTTTACCGAGGATTTTTAACCTGCGTTGCATTCCTGTTTCTCCTACGCTTTTAGTCTGTATTTACATCAGAATTTGTGTTTTTGATCTCGTAGCCATACACGTTGTGAGCTTCGTGATTCGTTTTTTTTTTCTACTTGGTGTTCTTCTTTTTTTTTTCTTGAGGAGAAAGTAGATTTGATGAGAGGATACAGAGACGCAGGGAACGGCGGCAAAGTGGGGTGGCATGCGTGATTCTGGCACCGTCTGAATTTCGTTTTTTTTTTTTTTTTGTGTGTGTGTGCGTGTTTGTTTGTTTGTTTGAGCCCCCTTTTTTTTTTTCTCTTGTTTCCAATTCTTTTTTTTTTTAAATATATATTTATGCATGTATATCAATGTTGTTCCCTAATCAGCTTTGGGGGTGCGATGGAGAGTTGCCACAGTGGAGCCCCAATTAACTGAAGCCTTATTTATTTATTTTCCTTTTTTTTCCATTGGCTTGTGCTCCCTAGCGTTTGTGCTGTACATGGTTTTTGCTGCTTTTGCCACTGCGGCTGAACTTTTTTTTTGGCAAAAAAACCGTCTGGGCACTTAACGGTGATCAATTGAAGCTTGACGATGCTGAATGTGTAGCCTTTTGCTTGAGGGACGTGTCTGCCGCTTTTACGCTGTCCCTTTTTTGTGTGTCTCATGTTGTGATTTCCCCTTTTGTTTAGTACGGTCTTCATGCTTCGGCGAAGTTGTCTGTGGCGGCTTGGCAACTACCGCCAGCACAGCGACAAGGAGCGAGATCGCATTGCACAGGAACGTCAGAGACGCATTCTTTACGATCACGCCGGCAATGTGAAACTCTCAGGTTTGCTATTTCTTTTCTGGGAGGAGTTCCGCCTGCCCATTCTTTGCGTTGCCGGGGGGATCGTATTTCTGATTGGGTACAACAAACTCATATATTATTTGTCGGCGAAGGAGTTTGCGCATGAGAAGTCAATTGACCAGCAGAGTGAGGCAAACGCGCGGCTGTCAGGGAAGTTGAAAGGGGACCGTTATTTGGTGAAGCCACGGCGTCAGCTAGATGATCCTGACTTTTTGAACATCCCTTCGTATGCGGGAAAAGGCGTTTACTCCAGCAAACTCTTTGATGACGATTCGGCAAGCACCGACCCTCTTTTTTCGGAGAAGAGGCGGAACTGAACGGGTGGGTTCGGGAAGAAGTGAAACGAGTTGGGTGTTTGTTGCAATGGCGGTGCTGCGTTGCCAAAGCAACTCCAATGCGTCTGTTTGTGCGCTTTCGCTATTTTTTTTATTAACGCCACATGAACCTCTTTTATTCACTTTTCTTCCTTTTTTTTTTTCCTTTTTCTCCCATCAAGGATCCGCCTGTGGTGAACGATGCCCCGTGAAATCAAGAGCCTGAAGGAGTTCCTCGCCATCTGCTCCCGCAAGGACGCCAGATGTGTGAAGGTGAAGCACAACCCGACGCAGACAAAGTTCAAGGTGCGCTGCAGCCGCTACCTTTACACCCTCGTCGTCGCGGACAAGAAGAAGGCGGACAAAATTGAGCGCTCTATTCACCCCTCCGTGAAGAAGATCACCGTTACGGCACGCTCCCACGCCAAAACAAACGCCGGCAGCAAGTAATTCTTATAAGCACAGACGACGGCGTCATTTGGGCCGTGGATGGCGTTTTCCAACCCGCATGTTTTTTGATTTACGGTTGTTCTTTTTTTTTTCTGTTCTTGTTTTTGTTATTTTCGGGTTGTTGAGCCTGCCCTCACTCATGTGGAGGTGGCGGTGTTATTCCGCGCTTGTGCGCATTCCACTTTTGCCTCGTGCTTGTTCTTGTTGCTGTGAAGAAAGTTATTCTTTTTGTGGTTGTTGTTTATGGTACCACTCCCTTCCCGCTCCTCCAACACATACATTGAGTGGGTCTATTTTTTTGTTTTAGCCCTTTTACGCCTGCCAAACGGTCCACTGGGAGAGGGCGCGAACACTACTGCGGGTAGTGACCAATTACACTGTTGTGGGGTGCGGCAATTTTATGCTCAATGTATCGTCCAAGGAAGCTACCATGTTTTTCTTCTGTCCGTAGATCATCGCTTCATCTGTCGCCGCGAACTGTGAGCTCAACTGGGCACGCAGAAGATTCCGTAGCCGGTGAGAAACTTCGGTGCGCCAATAACAATGACAGAGTGGGTCTTGTGTTTTGTGAGTGTTTTAAGGGCATGGAGAAGTTTCTTGTGCGGCGCCCTGGTTGTCCACCGCAGCAGCCAATGACATCACCGCTTTTTACAACGGCTTCTGGGGTTGTATCTTCATCTGCTCCACCATCAACCAGCGGTGGGGGGTCCGTGCGCTTGGCAAAAACAGTCAGGTCCTTCTTTCCCGGCACTAGCAATTTATTCTACGACGCGAATGCGCCGAACTTGCACCGGGAAAATTTGTCTTCTATTCCCGGAAATTCGGGGCCCAAACACGTGGGGAAGGACTTGCATGGGAATAACAGCAATGGCGTCAGACAACACGAGGTACGATCCCCTCTGATGTTGCAGCCGACCACGTCTTTTGGTGGCCAGCAAACGACATCCGATAAGTCTACGGCAGAAAAGGCAACTGCCTATGCCGACATTCAGCGTTACTCGTATGCGTATGCTTTGTGGCAAAACCGAAACGCGGCCCTACTACAGATGGGTGTGGACATGCAGGAGATGACAAGTAAGGCATGTTACCTGCGTGATTTACATCAAGAAGACCTAAAAGATGGTATGAGACAAACAACACGGTTCTCTTTTTATGTTGTTTTCCCCTTTGTGTTTTTGGTAAGCGCAGTTTTATTTAATGAATCAACGCTATACAGTGCGCAACTTAAATATCTGCGATTGGTTGATTACGACGCGTGGCTGGAAGCAAATGGGCACAACAGCGGCAGAAGAGGGGGCATTGTGGGTGGTGGTGGTGGTGGTGGTGGTTTCAGCAAGTACGAGCAGCGAAGGTGAGGGAAAGGCCAAAAAGTGGAATAAGCAACATCGAATACGAAACGCATCCGAAAACATATATATATATATATATATATACATTGATAAATGTATGCATTTGCGAAAAATTGGAAGCGGAGGAAGGCCGCCCATTCGAAGTTGTCGCGGCACGACGCAAATTGTGCCTCCTGGTCAACGGAAGGGTATTGCTGAAATATCAGAGGAAAAAACAAAAACGGAGAGAAGAGGATTTGCTTGTGTCGCTCACTTTCTTTACTTAATATTTATTTATTTATTCCTATTTTAATGCTTGGAGACAAACGTGTCAATTCACGATCCATCAGTAGGGCATTACGCCCGTGGCTTTCGCCCAACTTTTCTTTTCCAACGCACATTGAAAGAACACTACTCACAATAATTTTTGCTACTTTTTTTGTGTGCGCTCTTTCTGCCGTAGGGCTGTGGACGGACGGCAGACAACACTGGGGGAAAGGGGAGAGGGAGGGCGATGGCTGCCTCCACTTCGTCACCCACCAACAACATGTCCATCACTGGCGTGCTTCCGCAAACGGAGTGGCAATTGCCGTCCAGAGCAAAGTACTGCCAGTATCAGGACTGCGGCGCCAAATTCGGGCTCTTCGACAGAAAAACAAATTGCCGTCGCTGCGGTATTGTTCTAAGCTCCAAATGCGCCTGTGACTGTTTGTGCATAAGCGGGCACTACGATGACAAACCGCAGATTTTCTGCCTGCGCCGTCTTGAAGTTATCGAGCAACAGAAAATAATGATGACTCGTGCGGCGGCAATGAAAACAGAATGGCCACTCCAACAGCGTCAAAACAAAGACGACAACGCCTTAGCGTCCAGCGGCATACAACATGACAAGGAGATGCGACTGCTCGAAAACGGCAAAGACGTTTGCCAGCAGGCGGGAGAAGGACATGGACGAACAAAAGATGTTTTTTCCATGACCAATCAAGTGATGGAAAAAACAGATAACAAAAGAAATGCAAGCCCTCATAACGTGGAAGAAATGCAGAATAAAATAACGATTGAAATATGAGAAAAACTAGTGCCGTCAAATTCTAACGGAAAAGAATACAACGACACCGTCAATTTCATCGAGAACAACATTCACACGGAAATGCTCCTCCATAAAGAAAAGCACACAGGAAAAAACGAAGTTACCACAACAATCGATAGCAGCAGCAATGAGAACAAAATAAATCTACAAGAAATGGCAGCAAAAACGAAGTCACATATTGACGAGTTAGTCCGCGAGCGCGCTGAGCTGCAGGAGTGGGTGCGGGAGTCCTCACTGCTCAACTCCAGGAACGGGAGGCACGCCATAATGCACAACAACCCGCGCAGGATGCGGAGACTGCGGGGCGGGACGCGGCCCCCGCTACTCGACACGTTGCCAACGATGGCGTATCTACACTAACAAATCAAACGGATATCTTGATGGCTGGAGGCGTGCCTAGCAGTGCGGCCCGACACAGTTCGGCGGCTTACAGACCCCCTCACGGCAAAGCTGCGAGACCACATTTCCACCCTTCCACGCCGTTGCCCTCCCGCACTTCTCCCCTGGACGCCCGATTACCTATGGAAGAGGACCGCAGTTTCTACGCATTCGACGTCACTACGTGGCCCTCGCGTGTATGGAATGAGGGCGCCTCCGGAGTCATTATCGACCTCCGGTGCGCATACCAATGCTGGCAGCAGTACAACGAGCAGGTTAAACTTGCCTTTGACAATTTGCTCGAGTGGATCGGCGCGCTGGAAGGCCTGCAGGATCCCATCGATCGAATCATGAATTTTGGCAGGTCCCTACGGAATACATTCCGGATGCAGCTCACGATGGCATCCGATCCCGGCATCCGGCCTTCCAAACTGCGCGCCCGTCTTTACACTGCTGTTCACCAGACGGACTCTTATGCCAGGGCAGCCCAGCTTTTCGTCGATCGGCGAGAAACCCAACGCACTGTGCGATGCCAACGTTGTCATATTTTTGAACACGAGGCATCTACATGCAATGTGCGCCCGAGAAGGAATTACTCACAATACAGGCGCCCATCAAAAAACGGCAGAGGGGCTGCTTGATGCTTTTTATGAACGCTGGCGACGGCAGCCACATCCAATCCGCCACCTCCCACCAATCCTCACAGGCAGCGCGCCGCGCCGCCGACGCTCCACCCGATCTTTTAAATTGCCCGACGCAATCGTTGAGAAGGGCAATGGAGCTTATCCGCCAACGACGCTCAACTGTGGTACGACGAAGCACCGACATCTCTGCTTTGGGCCGGCCACACAAGGAGGGCGAACGAGGTCGCTCGAGAGATGTGGGCGCCGTCAACGTGGAAGCAGAGAATGTCCCTGGCGGGCAATTTACGACCTTATGCCGCACGCACGAACAGCCGATAAACGAGGAGAGCTGTGCGGCCTTGTTGATGGGAATATGAGATGTAGCGCCATCGACCCTACCGCGGCACGCCAGGATGCTGCGGTCCATGTTGGAAATGAATCGAACCCCGCTGGGCATGGCGATTCTGGGGTCACAAAAAATAGCGTCGCGATCGGAAACGAAACAGGTGCGCCCCTCGACAAAGGAAGGGTTGAATCAACTTATCCGCAGCCGGACCGATTGGAAGGAACGTGTTGTTTTTCGACTCGCGCGGATAACGGCGAGTCGTTGGTCCGAGATTGCGGCCTTGACTCCCAAAAAATGTCACGCTGGAGCCGAACGGGACCTTAATTTTGTATTGGCCCGTGGCACCGAAGACGGCGAGAGCGGATCCCCACTGCGCCTCGCGGTTCGTGGGGATGCGAGGGCAGGACGCCTTCGACATTATAAAGCTCTGTATGACACTTTGAAACAACGGAAGGCTCACGAACCTGACGACTGCCCAGGTGGAACGAGCTCTGGCTCCTTGGAATGCCACGGCGCATTCCATAAAACGCGGTGTGTTGCGGCACGCTGCTCCAATCGTGGAGACGCACAATTTGGACCCACAGCTGATCTCGCAGTTGGCGAAGCACGTCGACCCGTTCGACCTTCCCCAGAACACGGTTCGATATTTGGGGAAGTGCACCACAATGCTGACCCAGGTGTCGTCGCTGGCCGCATTGATGTGAAGGGAGAAGCTGCGGAAGGGCAGGAACCCTGGCTGAGAGCGGAGGAGCTTTTTTCCATGATTTTTACCATTATTCTGCCACAATTACGAGACGCGCGACAAGGACGCGTCTGGCCACTCCACAAGATGAACGAAACATCCCGCTACAGCAGGTCAACGTGCCTGTACTGAATCCCGTGTGGATCAAGAGCCGGTTGAGCCCGGCTACCTTGGAGAGACTCGTGCAAGCATGGGGACTCGTCGGGCGGTCCCCTTTCCCTCTGCCCTTCTCCGGTAAAGCGTGCGAAACTCCACGAAGCATTCCAACCGCTGACGCGCGATAGTTACGAAAAGCAGGAATTATCGAGGACGCTTCGTCCACAATAACAGGCGGATGGATAATACCCTTTCTCGGTTGTGGAGGAGAAAACCACCGGTTTACGACGACGATGGATCGCGTGGCCACGCGACAAGAACAGAGACGACCCTTATGAGGCGAATGTTCCTCTTTTACACATTTCCCATTATTTGCCACCTGCGATGGCTGAGGCCGTTTCCTG